GCCGGTAAAGATGCACAAAGAGGAGGCCCTGATGCCGGCCACGATGAGCAACAAGGAGGGCCAGGTGCCGGTCAAGATGACCGAAGAGGAAAAGGCCCTGGTGTCGGTCAAGATGCACAAAGAGGCGGCCCTGATTCGGGGCAATATGACCAAAAAGCAGTACCAGGTGCCGGTCAAGATGACCGAAAAGGAAAAGGTCCTGGTGCCGGTCCAGATGCACAAAGAGGAGGACGTGGTGCCGGTCAAGATGACCGAAAAGGAGGACCTGGTGCCGTTAAAGATGCACAAAGAGGCGGCCCTGTTGCCAGTCAAGATGACCAAAGAAGCAGCCCTGGTGCCGGTCAAGATACACAAAGAGGCGGTCCTGGTGCAGGTCTAGAAGAACAAAGGCAAGGCCGTACTGGGCCCGGTACTGGCCAAAAAGATCGACCTGGTGCGGGCAAATATGACGGTCCGGGTGCTGGTCAGAAAGGTGAGCCTGGTGCAGGCAAGGATGGTGGTCCAACTACTGGTCGGGGAGGGGAACCTGATGATGGTAAAAGAACAGGGCCTATTGCTGGCATGGAAGGAAGCCCAGCTACAGTTCGTGAAGGCGGACCTAATGCTAGTAGAAAAGACGGGTCGGATATAGGCATGGACGGCGGGCCAGCTGATGGTCGTGAAGGTGGGCCAGATGCTAGTAGAAAAGGAGGACGACCCGGTACAGAAGAGGTCGGCGGATCTGATGACCTCAAAAGAGGTGAACTTTATACTTATTTAAAAGTTATAATATATTCAAATAAAATACATTCTTATTTTAGATGACGGTGCAGGCAGGGATGGCGTTCCAGGTGTAAGTGGACCAAGTACTGGTACTCCCGGCAGTCCCACTGCGGCTGCAGGTCCGTCCGGCGCTGACGGTGCTACAGCAGGTCCCACAGGGGATGGTTCTGCAGTCGGTGGCGGAATAACTGGCGGTGGTACCAGAGGTATTACAGATGCAACTGGCAAAGTCCATGGTGTTGGTGGTGGTAGCCCGGGTAGACTACAAACGCAAAGTGGCGCCAGTCCTAGTGGTGGTGGGGGAAAAGGTCGTAAAGGAAAAATTTCCGATGCTCCTGGCGACGATGCTTTCCAACAATTCATCGACGTTAATGCCACTACAATGATGTCAAATATTAAGGCGGGCAGTGCGCTGGAGAAGGAACTGCGCGGCATACTGAATGCTTTCATGATGGAGTGTGGATTCTGTTTCTGTAAAAGTCTTGTGCCGAAGAGCAAATTTTATGCCCTCTGTCACAAGCTATTGCACAGCGGCATACAATGTATGTCTTTCCGCGAGTTGGCATATATGCATCGAAAAGTATTCATGGCCGCTGACAAGTTGCATCCAGGCTGTCTACTAAATATGATACTCACCGAGCAAGGTTTCAAGGATGGCGAGCGTCTCAAGTGTTGCCATTGCAAAAACGCGCTCTGCTGCAGCAATTCAGCGGAAATGCTCAAAGAAAAAGGTAAGTGTGAAACGGTTAATTGGAGTACTTCATCATGAGTTTCATTTTCCCCGAACCGATTCACTTTTCAACTTTTGGTTTTCATGGTTTTACTATGGACAGGAACTCAGGATAAGACAGAATATCTTAATTTTATATATGTTTGTATATTGTATATTATATATATTTTTCTAAGTGTACAAGTTGGAGCGGGACATTGAGATGGCCAAGGAACATCTGGACAGCTTGAGGGTGCAGACACGATCGCCTAAGAGTCCATGTACAGCACGCGGAAAGACATACCGGCAAATGGAAGACAGCTATTCAGAAGCTGTTGAAGAGTAAGAACACAATCAATTGAGCATTTGCTGGAACTTGGAACAACCCACCCGCCTCATAA